CTTGCTGCTTTTAAGATTCTCTCTTTGTCTTTTGCTCTTGGCATTTTAATTATGATGTGTCTTGATGTGGTTCTCTTTAGATTTTTTTTGTTTGGGGTTCTCTATGCTTCCTGGACTTGTAAGTCCTGCTTTGAATGTTTGTCAACCTTGGGTACTCATGACAGCTTATACTGTTAGCATTCCAATGTAAGGTCATCGCATATGTAGTTCATTTATTGAGTTCTTATTTAATTACAGCCCCCTCTACTTTATACTTTATTTGTATTGATTTTAGAGGAAGAGCAACTCGGGGGAGACAGGGGAGACATTTGTTTCCCCAGTTAGTTATGCATTCATTGATTACTTTTTAGTGTGCCTTGAGCACAAATCAAAGGTGCAATGTTTTGGTATGAGGATCACACTCTAAACAACTGAGCTCTTGGGCAAGGTGAGAATATCCTTTCCTTATCTTGTGGTTTAGTCACCCTGGGTGAAGATCTTTAGACCCCTTCCAGGAGGATTTGTATGTCGGCCTTTTAGTCTAATTTGCTTTATTATTTCCCTCTGCCTTAATGTCTGTATTACAGGTTGTTGTTTTTTTGTTGTCTGTTTATTTTCTAACATTTTTATTGATTTCAGAGAGTAAAGGAGAGGGAGAGATAGTTAGAAACATCAGTGATGAGAGAGAATCATTGATAGGCTGCCTCCTACACGTCCCCTACTGGGGATCAAGCTGGCAACCCTGGCATGTACCCTTGACGGTAATCGAACCTGGGAACCTTCAGTTCACAGGTCGGTGCTCCATCCACTGAACCAAACTGGCTGTAGCTGTATTACAATTTTTTTAATAACAGAAGCTTTGAAGTATGTTTTAAAATCAAGAAGCCTGAAGCTTTTAATTTATACATTCTTTTCATGATTCACTTGGTTACATGGAGTCCTGTGACATTCACATTAATTTTGGAAAGAGCTTTTTTTTATTTCCACCACAGGTGTCACTGGGACTTTGATAGGGATTGCTTTGAATGTTTAGGTAACTCTCGGTACTAATGACAGCTAATACTGTTAGCATTTCAGTCAGATCATGGAATGTGTTTTCCAATTTACTGATTCGGTGTTTAATTACAGCAGCCATGTGTTCGTGTGTGTGTGTGTGTGTGTGTGTGTGCGTGCGTGCGTGCGTGTGTGTGTGTGTCTGTCTGTATCTGTGTTTTCTTTTGTTACTTCTCACCCGATGTTATTTTTCCCATTGAATTTTAGAGAGAGTGGGAAGGAGGGAGGGGGATTGAAAGAGAGAGAAATATCATATTGATGCAAGAGAGACACATTGTTGTTTGGCATCCTCACACATCCCAAATGGGGTTCGGATCGAACCTGCAACCATTTGGTGGGTGGGCCCATACTCTAACCACTGAGAAACACTGCAGAGGGCACCCAGCAATATTTTATGCTTCACAGCATACAAGTTGTGCACTTCTTGGGAAGTAAATTGTTAATATTTCATTTTCAATTATGCTGTTATTCATGTAAATACTTACTTAATTTGCTACTGATTTCAGACAGGAAGGGAGAGGGAGAGAGAAATAGAAACATCAATGATGAGAATCATTGATCATTTGCCTCCTGCATGCCCCCTCCTGGGGATCGAGCTCACAATCCAGGCAGGTTCCCTTGGCTGGCATGGGACCCAGGACCCTTCAGTCTGCAGGCTGACAGTCTATCCACTGAGCCAAGCCGGCTAGGGCCATTTTTTTTTTTCTATTTGTTTTGTGACCATGAGAACTACTTAAAATATCTTAAAGTTATAACAATGTATCCTAAACTCATAGTGTCAACTGCATACAAAAACTCTGCAGATTGCCATTTTTAACCGTGTACCCATATACGTTAATATCAAATTATCTTTAATGTTGTGTGCCTGCAGTTATTTCAGATTTTATTCTTCTTGTATATTATTTATTTTTTCAAAATACCTTTGATTTCAAGGAAGCAAATGGGAGAGAGATAGAAATATCCATGATGAGAGAGTATCATTGATTGGCTCCCCCACACTGGGGAAAGAGCCTGCAACACAGGCATGTGCCCTCACCTGTAATCAAACTGTGACCTCTGATTCATAGGTGGGACCCTTATCCTCAGAGCCGCAGCACTCAGACTCTTCCTTTCATTTTCTAAAGTTACACAAGAGAAATCAAAGTGATATGTGTTTCTTTAATAGAACACCACAAATAGAAGATGCACAAATGCACTTCCCTCATCTCTCTCTCCAGTGAAGTAACTGGGAATTGGGAGTGTTTTTATAATATTGCCATTGTGTGCCAAGGGATTTGAGAAGGTATCATTGGCAAATGTAAGCAACTCTTTGTCCCTCTTTATGTGAGTTTTCCTCATTGTACCTATCTTGAGCTTTCATTCAATACTATACTGGCTCTTGGAGTCCTCCAAAAATGTCATTTGGTCAATACTTGCTGGTAAGTTCTAAGTGCACTCACCTGATTGTCAAAACGGAAAATTCGTGTGTTTTTTTTTTCAGCTATGTCACCTAAAGATAACCAGGCCTTTATGCCAAAGCCCAGAATACAAGATTTATTCTGTGAAATAATACTGGTAAGATATAAACGGTGTCGCTTTGATAATGTACACTTAATGAAAGCCTTGAAATTTGAAGAAGAGTGTGATGACAACAGAGGATATTAATATAAACAACTAATCTGGAAAAATTATCATAATAAATTTCTTTTTACCTAAAGAGGTCAGGTATGTTATGAATTTGGGAAACCTCCAAATTTAAAGTCAGTTACATTGGCAGATCAGTGTATTTGTGCACATGAAGGTTGAAAACAAGTTTTTACTGTTATGCATTCTTGGAAAAGAAATTTGGAAAAACTAGGAATTCGTATAATTTGTAGTGTAAATAATTTGCATTGTTTAAAATTCAGGTGGAATTAAACTTCATCAATCATTTCTAAAATATATAGATTTGTCATGTACCTATAAAATTAAAATGCTCAATTTAGCAATGTTTTATGATTTTTTATATTTAAAAAATGTAACTCATTTCAGAGAGTAAGGGAAAGGAAGAGGGAGAGGAAAACATCAATGATGAGAGACAATCATTCATTGGCGGCCTCCTGCAAGCCTCCCACTGGGGACTGATCTGGCAGCCAGGCCATGTGCGCTTACTGGGAATGGAACTGTGATCTCCTTGTTCATATGTCAAAGCTCATCCACTGAGCCATGCTGGCAGGGCAATTTGGTAATATTTTATTTATTCATTTTTTATGATTATTTTAAAAAATATTTTTAATGATTTCAGAGAGAAAGAGAGAGGGAGAGAGAGAAACGTCAATCATGAGAAAGAATCATTGATCGGCTGCCTTTGGCATGCCCCCTATTGGGGATAAAACCCAGGCCCCTTTAGTCTGCAGGCCAACGCTCTATCCACTGAGTCAAACCAGCTAGGACAATTTGGTAATCTTTCCAACAAGGCTTCATCCTTCTTCTTCTTACAATAATGTTTTGTGTGTTTTTTTTGTCTAGTATATTAGGAAAGCTTTTGTTATACAATCATCTAGGTTTAATGTGTATCACAAAATTGTTTTTATGGAACAAGTGTACATATTTAATGAAATTATAACTGTCACTAAAGATCTTTCTATCTCCCATAATCACCAGAGTACACATAACGGAGATAGAAGTTATGAATGGATTGAACATTGGAAAAACATTAAGCTAGAGTTATATCTTAATCATTGGACAAGTGAGCTGCCAGAGGAGCATCATAAAAGTGGAAAAGTCTTTGACCAAATGTCCAATCACAATATACATCAGGTTTTTCCTATTGTGGAGAAGACACACAAAGGAAGTAAATGTGTCCAATATTTTCTGCAGCCTTCAAATGACGATGAACAAGAGAATATTCCTACTGGGGAGCAAGCTTACAAATGGAATCCGTGTGGGAGAGTCTGCAGTCAAAGCCTCAAGCATGATTCGACATGAGAAAGTTCATACTGGAGAAAAACCTTACAAATGTAGAGAATGTGGCAAAGCCTTTAGGCAGTCCGCAGCCCTTACTTGCCATCAGAGAGTTCATACTGGAGAAAAGCCTTATAAATGTAGAGAATGTGGCAAAGCCTTGAGGCAGTCCGCAGCCCTTAGTTGCCATCAGAAAGTTCATACTGGAGGAAAACCTTACAAATGTAGAGAATGTGGCAAAGCCTTTGGCCGGTCCTCACACCTTATTTGTCATCAGAGAGTTCATTCTGGAGAGAAGCCTTATAAATGTAGAGAATGTGGCAAAGCCTTTAGGCAGTCCGCAGCCCTTAGTTGCCATCAGAGAGTTCATACTGGAGAGCAGCCTTATAAATGTAGAGAATGTGGCAAAGCCTTTAGATATTCCTCCTCCCTTAATGTACATCAAAGACTTCATACTGGAGATAAGGTTTATAAATGTAGAGCATGTGGCAAAGCCTTCAGGCACTCTTCAGCCCTTAATCAACATCAGAGAGTGCATAGTGGAGAGAAGCCTTATAAATGTAAAGTGTGTGGCAAAAGCTTTAGCTACTCCTCAGATCTTAATCGTCATCAGCTTATTCATACTGGAGAGAAGCCTTATAAATGTAGAGAATGTGGCAAATCCTTTAGCTGGTTCTCATCCCTTACTAATCATCAGCGTGTTCATACTGGAGAGAAGCCTTATAAATGTAGAGAATGTGACAAAGCCTTTAGCAATACTTCAAATCTTATTGTACATCAGAAGGTTCACACTGGAGAGAAACCTTATAAATGTAGAGAATGTGGGAATGCCTTTAGCAGGTCTTCAAGTCTTACTGTACATCAGAGAATTCATTCAGGTGAGAAGCCTTATACATGTAGAGAATGTGGCAAAGCCTTTGTCACCTCCTCAAATCTTATTAAGCACCAGAGTATTCACACTGGAGAGAAGCCCTGCATCCCTTACTAAGCATCAGAGAGTTCACACTTTAGAGAAGCCTTCTAAATGTAGAGGATATAACAGCCTTTCATCAGTGTTTCTGCCTTACTTTAAAGCAGAGTTCACACTTGAGAGAAGCCTTAAAAATGTGGAGGATATAACGGCATTTCATCAGTGTTCCTGTCTTACTGTAAAGCAGAGTTCATACTTGAGAGAAGACTTACAGATGTGAGGGGTGTTGTGTGTCCTTTACCAGCTGTGAGAACTTACAGAACGTCATAGAATTGATACTGGCAAGAAGCCTTATGAATGTGAAAAATGTAGAAAAGGCTTTATAAGGCATTCATGTCTTACGGTACCTGAGAGACTTTATACTAAAAAGAGAACTTACAAATGTAGAAAATGGGCTGGAGCCTTGACTCAGCTCAAAATTCACTGTACCTCACAGATTTTACAGTGGAGGGAAGCCTTATACTGTGGATAACGTGAGAAAGCCTTTAATATGTAGTCTAACCTGCTCAACATTTTAGGAATCATTCTAAAGAGAAACAGCAATAATATAAAGTTTTCATCTAAGGATTTAAGCTTCAAAGGTTGAAGCTACATTGAGAATGATAAATAAGGTCTTACAAATTATCAGGCATATGTCAAAGTGTATATTCTCATATCTCATACAACATTGTATGATTATTACTGGATCGAATTCCCGCAGATATAAAGAATGCGACGAAGCTTACCCATAATGTAAACTTTAACCGACATCAGAATTCATACTGGGGGAGAAACAATACAAATCTAATATTGTCCTAATGTCTTTAATCAGCATCCGATGTTTATTCCTCACTTTGGAATTCATTCTACAGCAGTGGTTGTCAACCTGTGGGTCCTGCCCACATTTGGGGGTGGAATGACCGTTTCACAGGGGTCACCTAAGATCATCAGAAAACACATATTTAATTACATATTGTTTTTGTGATTAATCTCTATGCTTTAATTATGTTCAATTTGTAACAGTGAAATTGGGGGTCACCACAATTTGAGGAACTACGTTAAAGGGTTGCGGCATTAGGAAGGTTGAGAACCACTGTTCTGGAGGGATATCTTAAATCTGATGAATGTGGGAAATCATACTTGGACCTACAGCCTCAGTCAGTATCAGGTATTGTAATTGGATAGAAATCCTACATTTATGTTATAGGAGGAGGGACTTTTGTTCCAAATACACAGTTTATAAAACTCCAAGGAATTTATGCCTCAAAGTGACTTTAAATATGTAAAAACGGAGCCAGAGGATCCACCACAGTTGTGAACAGCACCCATCAGAGGAGCTGCTGCCAACTGAGGAGCAGCTGCTTCCACAACCGCCCGAGGAGCCACTGCCACCCAAGGAGCAGCCACTGAATGACTCAGCATCTTGATATGTTGGTGAGATCATACATGGGTAGACAAAGAAACCCCCAAAGGGATGAAAAGGACGGCTAGCCAGAAAAGCAGCTAAGTGAAACAGAGGCATGCAACATGACAGAAAAAGAATTCAGATTAAGGTTTCTAGAGTGCATAAACCAGATGGAGGAAAAAATCAAAAACTTACGCAAGAAGCAAGAAGAAACAGATGAAAAAAATCAATAAATTATGTAAGAACCAAGGAGAAATGAAGTGTGACATAGCAGCAATAAAAAACACCATTGCAAGTTTCAACATTAGACTAGGAGAAGCGGAGGACAGAATTAGTGAATTAGAAGACAGGGAAGCAAAACACACCCAAACTGAACTCCAATTGGAGAATAAAATTGAAAGACAGGAGGAGAGCCTAAGGAGCTATGGGACATCATGAAACAAAACAACATACAAATAATAGGGGTGCCAGAACAACAGAGAGAGGAACAAGGGTTAGAAAACCTATTTGAAGAATTCTCT